AACCAGAAAGAAGCTCAGAGCTGATCCCTGAGTCTTCTTCACACTGACCTGCACCACACATCTCACTGTCCTTGTACATCCCCTGTATCATCCTCAAATACTTCTCCACACCTCCCGACTTTCTCAGTTCCCTCTTGGCAGCCTATCACATGCCTTCTCTAGACAAAGACACGGTGTAACTCCTTTTGTTCTTCTCTGTATTTCCTCTCAAAGAAAATACTGCATCTGTAGTATTCCTACAGCCCCTGACGAGGACCTGCTAAAGACGCCATCTGTAGTAGTCCTCAGCATGAAGTCATTCTGGTCCCGACCAATCATCTCACCTCTCTTCTTATCCCAACTTTCAGGTTTGTGTTATGGGCATCATGTCAAAGACACCTTCTGTTTTCACAGATGGACAAAAAGGTGAATCTGAAAGTTAAACTCAGAAAAAAGACAGAGCCAACTTTAAGCTTAAGACTGGTTTATTTTTAATGATCAGAAATCCACAGTCTTCTATGTAAAATGAAAAGGGACTGAGAAGGTATCAAAGTGCCATAACAACGTTAAACAGACCCTGCAGCATTAAGACTTGTAAAGAGCACTTTCAGCTGTCGAATCTCCTGATTGGACATCTGAACATGACTGCACCCCGAGCGGTTTAGGATGAACACCGGCTGTCGTCATAATGACACCGAAAAAATATCCAGAAACCTTTTTTCATGGTTTATGTCAGAAAATGTTCTCAACAACAAGGCTGTCACGTTTCTCCTTTAGTCTGTCACGTATCTGTTACTGATCCATAAACGACATTTACTTTGATAAAACGTTTATAAAACAATCACATGTAAACAGCAGTGATCACCAACCCTTGTGCTGAAACATTACAATAGTCTGACTAAAGCAACGAGCACCAAAGTTATTGGACAGAAACAGCATTAGCACCTGACATAATCCGTCTTATTTCCCTAAATGTGCAGACGAAGAACAGCTGTGGACGAGTTTGAAATGTTTTATGTAAATTTGTTTTTAAAACAAGTTTTTTT